CAAAATCAGTGTATATATTGTAATATAGTATTCTAATGTTCTTTAGCTGTTTAAAAAGATTCAGAAAAATTAATGTAAATATTAAAGTATATATATTTATAAAGAAAAACATGTTTTAAATTTAATATTTTTTATAAAAGTTACATTATTTACGTTAAATATGTAAATTGAACCATTTTTTTTTCGGTGTGTGTAAATATTTATTTTCTAAAAATTCAAAACATCATTAGTACTATATCACTTTTTAGTTTATGATTTTCAGAATTTATTTTATAGAAAATTTAAATTTTAAGTCATTAAATTTTATTATTATAGAATAAAATATAAAAATATAAACTAAAAAAAAATTTCTGTTAATTAATTTTTTTTGCGAAAACCATTGAATAATAGTTTACAAAACATTATACTATGTCTTTAAAATGCATTATTCACCTTTCTATATCAATAAAAATGAAAAAATATAAGAATTACTCGCAAAACTATTTTTTATTGTTTTTTATTCTAACGTCATAACGATTTTAGATAAATTGGATATTTTTACGTGTAAAAAATATACATAACAATCAAGTATACCTTTATTTATAAGATCTAATGTTCTAAATACTTTTCTCTAAATTATATCTGTTTATTTTAAATCCCTAGCTGTTAGAATCAAAGATACATATATTTTATCAAGTCATGGTATTTTACTGAACTTAAAGTTCGATTAAAATAAGATTTTTTTAGTTTTGAATCATAAGTAAGTATTAGTATGTATTCATTAAGTTTTAATCTGTTTAATTGTATAGATTGAATAATTTTCAACTTTTATGGATTGTGTAGGCTATTAAAACTAAAGAAAAAAAATCATATTTTTTGTGAAACCATCCGATTGCTCTAAATGTCTTTCTAGCGTGTAAAATCGCTGTTTGAACTTATGCTTGTTAATTATCAATTTTTTTATCATACTTTAGGCTAATTTTATCACATTTTATCTTTTCAAACTTGAAATTTTATTTAAATTATTAAATGAAAATTGATTATTTATTAACATGTTATATATAATAGATCTTATAATAACTTGAAATTTCATTAAAAATAAGAAGATTTTTTATCAAAAATTTTAACGTTCTTATGAATCTATTTTTAAAATTTTTTTAGATGTCTAAATAATATTTAATTATATACAATTATATACTTACGCTAATTATAGCAGCATTTATTTTCTATAAGTGAACCTTAAATGCTTCAAAATCGTAAAACTTGCAAAATATTATCCTATATTCAATACTTTTACATTTAGGGTCTTTTCTTAGCAGAAAATATAATAAAAAAATTAAAAATTTCATAAGATGTACATAAAAATGAACAAAGAATCTTTTATATACTAAATAGTATCAAATTAATAAAAATATTAAAGATAGGATATAATAAATGCTTGAAACCATCTTATATATAATTATATTGAAAATATAAAAATTATTGTTTTATTTTTACGACTAATTCACTTACTGTCTTTATCTAGAGTTGAGCTAAAAAATTTGCGAAACAAAACGTGAAGTCAAAAAAAAAATAACTAAATATAACGCAATGGTTTTTAAAAAAATTAATAAGTTAAAGGAATTTTCAAATTCTTGATCTTTCATGATTTTTTTTATAGCCAAAAATTTGCATTTTTTGTTTATTTTAAATATGTAATATTGAATGCATGCAGCTAAATATACTAGAATTTTGGTGTTTAAAAACAACTTCGAATACATATAGATACTAAAAATATGTTGAGAAATCAAGTATACTTATTTCGTTGATTTCATCAAAATAAAAATGTGAAAAATAGAATTTAGGACACAGTATATGAAATCGAAGTAGACTAATTATCATCGCAAATAAATAAAAGGGCTATAAAAACATATTGGCTAATTTTTTTTAACAATATTCAGATAGTGTTAGCAAAATATATATCAAACACACCTACTAAAAATAGTTTTCAAATGCCACCTAGGTTTATTCGAAATCAAGGAGACGACAATATATAAATAATCGCTAATCAATAACACGAAGCGAAGCATCTAAAAATCATCAAGAAACAAACAAACAAAATAATTATATTATTTCATTTTAAAGAAATTTATATCGAATTTAAAAATCATAAATGATGCCGCAATATAAATAAAATTTTCCTTTTACATTAATTTTTTTATCTTTGATTCTACACAAATCATCGTATAAAACCTAGAACGTAATGTTATTATTTTGAAGCCTGAATATTCATTTGGGGCCATCACCCATAACTTAAAAATGTTTTTACAAGGTAAAAGAATAAAAAGGGTTGATTCTAAGTAGATCGAAACTATAGAAATTCTGCTTAATATTTTGGTATGGAAAAATTCAAAAAATTTGTTTAAAAAGGTTAAATTGGTTAAATTGTTTTTCTTTTTAAAAAATTTTTTTGTGTGTTTAATTGTGTTGTATATATTAATTAAATACAGTATAAATTTACTTCTTTTTTTTGTTTATGTAAGAAAACCATATTAAATTATAAATAAAGAATAATGGAATGACTACCCCAATAATCATGAAAATAAATAAAAATTATAATAGAATTTAAAAATCTATTAGCAGTTTTAATTTCTACTTAATTTTCGTCTATAAAAACAAAAAAATATCTTTATATATTCATATGTAGTTGGTTTAATACATGCTCAAGTCTTTTGATTTATAAAAATGAGATAAGCAATAAGTATTCTGGAAACAAACAAAAAAAATACTGCAACAGTATTGAGTTTTTTTCATGGTTCTGTAGCAAGGCGCGAATTCACAAAAAAAGAACAACCAATAAGATCAGTTATTTAAACAGATAAATGCATCACCATCATACATAATGTCATTAAAACCATTTAAGTATGTGAATGCTTGAAACCCATAAGAATCAAAGAAAAGACTTTTATTCACTGGCATGTCAGAAATTGGTTCTAATAATAAAAATCCTTATTAAACAATATTTTTTTCTTTTTTATAATTAATTTTACATTCATAACTTTAAAAATAACCTTAACATACGAAATACTAATGACAAATCTAAAAAAAATAATAAATTTCTGCAGATTGAAATTTTTTTATTGTAAAAATTTATATAAAAATATTTTTCTACAGAGAATATTTTCTGCATTATATTTTTTTCCATATATCATTTCCTTTATTATATTGGAAAAATATTTAAATAAATTTATTTTACTTTAATTGCATTGTTTTTTTTATTGACACGTTAAGGTGTTTAATTCAAATTTTGTGTTTTAAATTTATATGATTTTTTTATGTAACAAAAATTTAAAAATTATAACTAAGATTTTATATTACATAAAAACAGAACTATTGTGGGTAAGATAAAAAAAATATCTAAAGATTTCTTTAAATAGCACATTTCATATATTATACATATCATATTTATAAAGGATGCTCTAAAACATGATTTTTGGTGATATTTTAAATTTTAAATTACTTATGCGTATATTAAAAATTGATTTTTATTAAATAATTTTAAATTTTTACATGTGATACGAACTACTATTAAAGTAAAAAAATAGTTTGCAAATTTAAAAATTTAAAGAAGTGCTTCTTACATCAATATAAATGGGATTTTTTGCTGGTGAATGTAAAAATCTTTTCGGTTGTTCATTTACAAATCAAATATTACTTAAAAAATATCCTGACCTCTTTAAATTACCGCATTACCATATCTAAAAATCTTACGACCGAAAAAAATATTTTTCGAACATTTATTTTAGATATGAATGTTTTTTACCAAAAAATTGTATCAGATATTTTTATCCATTTTTAACAATCTAAAAAAATTTATGTTCTAATTCAAAAACATATGATAAACTAAAGTTATATATATAACTCTAAACAAGTAAGAAAATGATTTGCTAGATTCGAAAATGTTTTAATGTCCTCACCCTTTTTGAAAATGATATTTAAAAAGCATGAAATAGAAAATTGCCGAGAAAATTGTCAGGTTTAGTTTTAATTATTCTGTTGATATCAAATAATAAAATTATCAAAAAATATATTATATCATATCTAGTTGAGCAAAAAGATAAATCAAAATGCATCCATTTAAATAGTGTCCTGTCACCAGCTTTAATGCTTATAAACGGTATATTTGGTGCATGTTTTTTTGGCCGTTTCACTAAAAGTATGTAGACTGTGTTGTGTTTTTTACAGTATTAAGAAAGTAGTTTTGTAGAAATAAGTTAATTGATATTAGGGTTAATTTATTTAGGCGCAAATTCAAAGTATAAAATAAAATATTTTTATGAATTATTGGGTTAAAGCATATATTTTTTGTAAAAAATTAAAAAAGTTGGTTGTTTCTATTGAGGATGCAAAATTTTAGAACGTAGGAACTAAATTTGTGTCTTTTCGCACATTTCATCGTTTTTTAAGTTGATATATTTTTTTATTTCCGAAAAATTATAATTTTTGATTTAAATAAGAACATGTGACAAAAATAAATTTGAATTTTTTGTGAATAACGCTTCGTGACCTCTCGACAAGGCCTTCCTATTCTATCACAATAATACTTTCTAATTGTTTAAATTAATTTTTATAGGCAAAGAATTTAATGTAATTTAATTTGTTATAATTGGATTTTACATCGGTGAAAAATAATTTCAATACGCTTATTATGCTGTCTTAACATCACTTTAATTTGTTTGAAAATTTTTGACCAATCCTTTCTTTGCGAGGTTGATTTTCAAAGAGTACAAAACTTAGTTAAAGATCACAAAAATTCGTAGAAAATGCAATACAGAAATTATAGTTTGACTACAAAATGATAAACTTTAGTGATGTTTGGCTTTTCAGTAAAAATAGTGTTATTAAAGGGGTTTCAAAGTAATTTTTTGTCAGCCATTCAGCTTTTTATGCATGATTCAAATTTATAGGATTGCTGTGACAAAGTTATTGTTTACAGTTTGCAAATTTAAAATGTTCAAGTGTGTAGATCAATTGTGAGCTAAGGCATCATGGCCGAGCGGTCGAAGGCGGAAGACTCAAGTTCTTCTCTCGCAAGGGGCGGGGGTTCGAATCCCTCTGATGTCATTTTTGTTACTGTATATAGGTGTATGAAATTTTATGAGAAACACTTTTATTTGATATTATTAATGCATTAATTTGGCTTCAATTTTTTAATGCATTTCGTTTGGATGCAATTTGTATTTTCGCCACACTAAAAATAGATTTTATAATCTAATCATATATTGATATAATTGTTTTTATTGTAGCTCAAATTATAAAACCAGATAAACTCAAAAACTTTATTATAATTCAAAACAAAACATTATTGAATGAAATATCGCATATTATTGTTAATTTCATATTTTATCACAATATGATCAAGTTTATTTTAATTTTTGGTACAATAATTAAAAATTTTACTCATCCAAGTAACAATTCTTCTCACATTCAATTTGACTCATACCTAATCAAAACAATAAGAGCAAATAAAAAAATTATAAAAAATATATTTATCTGTAAAATTTTCATTCCACTAAGCAACTGTAACCATTTTGAAATATGAAAACTACATTTGTTATTATAGAAAAATGTATACTGACACTCAAAATAGAGTATCTGTACTTTAACTATAATTTTTTTTCTATGAAATTTTAAATACGATAAAAATACTAAAATTAACTTTTGCAATTAATATTTTTTTAAGAATGTTTACACTAAAACAATAATAATTTTCTAGAATTATGATCTTTTAATTTCATTGATATTCCAAAAATATATTAAAAAAATTCGATTAAAAGAGATATTTAATTACACCATTCTATGAACAAAACCTAACAATTTCAAACATTCAGTCCACCGCATATTAAAAAAAATAATGTGTAGATACTTTTATGATTTTTTAAAAAAACCATAATTAATTAACACGTGATAAAAGAATTTCATACATGTTAAACATGAATCTTATAAGCATATTTTTTTCAAAACTAAATATGCACATAAAGGCTTCACTGACTACAACGTTCTTATATTCTAGCAATTTGTATGTGTATTCTTCTTCATCTTCCTTTAACTCAAACACAATTGATTTTTCTATTTCCTTGTCAGTTATATTCCAAATAAATTTATAAGTGGATCCAGTATTCTGAATTTTTAAACCTAGAAATTTTTGAAAAAATAACTGTTCGTTTTGTGTTTCATTCTGTGACGAAAGAATGGATTTTATGTATTTTTTTTCTATGTCACGGGTTTCGGTGATTTTTTGAAGATAAACGTCGATTTCATCTTTGATGTCCAAAACTTGTTTTTCTGAAGTGTTTGAATCATCTTTTTGCGCGCAAATGTTTTTTAATTCTGTCTCCACATAATTTACCTTGTCGTAATTTTCTTGATGATCAAATTTTTTATTTTTGTGTTTATTGTTTTTTGTAGAATATTTGTTTTCTAAGATTTGTTGTTTGCTTAAATTTGATTTGTTTTCAGAAGTTTTTGCGATTTTTTTTGTGTTTTTGCCCTGCGAATTAATCGAAATATCTGGTTTTTTGTTTGAAAAAGAGCTTTTATCGATATTGTTTTCTTTGCCAATTTTCGAGATATTGGGAATTGAATTTATACTAATTTCAGAACTGGGAATTTCTTGTGTTTTTGAAATGTGTTCCTGAATTTGATTCAGATTTTGTGTTTGTCTTGTACTTTTGTCTGGTGTTTTCCCTGATTTCGAAGGTATTTTTAAAACGTTACCTGGCGATTTTAAAGATTTTGTGTGTAAAGATTTTTTCAAAGGTGTCTTCACATAACTCCCATTTTTTACATTATTTTGCCTGCTTCGTAAGTTTTTAGCTTGTGAATCCATTGGCTCGTCAATTTCTAAACTATCAGAATCGGTTGAATATGAATCTTCACCACTTGAAAAACTAATGTTTTCTGTTTTTGCGGACGGAATTGTGTTTACTAGTTGTCTGTAAGATTTGTTTTCTTTTTCAATAATGCTGATCGAAGCATTTTTGCGAAACCCCTTGATGTTCGCATTTTTTACCGCAAAACTGCTATTTCTATGGGTACTCAAATTTGAACTTAGCTTATTATTTTTGTTCTGTGTGTCTACGTGCTTTTTAGTGCGCCTCGGTGTGGGAAATGTTATTCTTTTCCGCGGTGTTTTCATTTTGCCTTTCAAATTTAGAAGCCCTTTTTTAAAAAAAATTCCGGCTTTCTAAAATACTTTTTTTACTTGAGTTCATATTGTGTTTGCTTTTTGCTTCTTAAAGATAAGTAAATTATGAATATGCTTGTTTTTGTATATAATTTTAGTTGTTTTTGAGTTATTTGGAATTTTTGTTTTTTTTATGATTTTTTTTTGTATATTAAATGTGATGAATGCAAGTTTCTTAAAAGTAAAACAAAGAAAATAAAAATCAGATAGATCTATTTAAATTTTTTGAATTCTGAACATTCTGAATACCAATAAAATAAAAAATGCTTTGTTTTTTTATCGTGAATCAAGTCTTTTAAATATTATTTAATTTTATTCCGTGTATAAATATTTTTTAGATTAAAAGACATTTTACCAACCTTTACTGTAAGGACACAATAATTAAAATACCTTTAAAATAAATTTTTGCTTCATTTACCGTTACCTAAGTTTTTCGATGTTCTTTGAAAATCTAATACGATTCTTAATCGTTTATTCAATAAATAAAAGATTTGTTGATGAAAAAAATACTTGGAAATTTTATTAATGTTTCTAAAATTTAAATTTTTATTAACTTACTTTTGAAAGTAAATTATTTATATTTGATATATCTATTAAATAGAAACTTTCTTGTTTTTATTAAAGGAATTTTTCATTAAAGTAAATTTTAAAAAATTAGAATGTTTAGAGATAAAATTTATTCTTTTGTTTTTTTTTTAAATTGTTGATTCAAAAGATGTTAATATATCTTTATCACATTAATAAACACTGCAAATAATGTTTATACACATACAAACAAATATTTAAAACAGAATAATATTGTATATATTATTTCTCTATTGAAAGAACAATTTTTGTAAAAAATTAATTAACATCTTAAATTAAATTACCAGACATAAAATTTAATTTAGTTTTTATTAAACATAATTATTATAACTGTCTAGCAGTTATAACAGTGAAAAAAAATTTACTATCCAAATTTTAATGATTAAAGTGCATAAATATGCAAAAAGTGTTTTTTTAGAATCCAAAATTTGAAATAAATTTCTGTTCTCTTTTCAAATTAACCTTTCTGAATATTGAAAATGTTTTAATTTAATGTATATTATTGCATAAACCATCTAATTTTAAAACTTAATCATAGCTCAACAAACAATATTAATTTTCAAGAATTTTTAAATGCTAAAATTGCATCGAAATGCTTACAAAAACATTCATATACAAGAATATATATTTAAGCTAAAATAAAAAAATTTTTCACTATCTACTATATGAATTTAAAAACAACATTAAATTTTGGTAAATTTTTTGAATTACTGATATTTTAAATTTATATTATGAAATTTCGAGAGTTTTTTGCGCATAATATCAGAAAATAAAATGCTGAAAAATTACACTTTTTCATTTGAAAACAAATCTTTCTTTTAATCTTGCTACAGAATTCGGCTAATATCAATTACTAGGAATGCAAAAAAGTCTTGTGTGTTAAATGTTTTGTATAATAAAAAAACCCACAAAAATGAAAATATTGTTTTTGTAAGAAATGCTTACTATTTTAACTTATGATAAAAATATAACATAATACAAATATAGTCAATAAACTTTCTACATAATTGTCAGATATGTACAATCTCAAATTCAATGTGACAAAATTACGACGTCTGACGACAAAAAAATTTTAAAAAATAATGATAATCACAAATATAAATTAAATATAACTTCAAATCTTATGTATTTTTTTATAAAAATGTTTTAATTGTGAAAATTAATAAATTACTTGAGTTATTAATAAATTTTAATTATATGTGAAAAGTAAAAATCAAAAGCAAAACCCTTACGCAAATTCATTAAAAGTTATTACAAAACTTATAATATCAACAATTATTTGCAATAAAAAGTTAAAAATACAAAAAAAATCTAGTTTTGATTTAATGAACAAAATTTTATTGAGAGAATTAATGGGTTTTAACTCCATTAAAGATGGGCTACCAGTTGAAATTTCGTTTTGTTTAATGAACACGACAGAAATAACGAAAAGCACAAAACTTGGGTTTTGAAAAAATCCTTTATAAAAGGAAACTGGAGAGAAGATTCCAAGAAAAAAACAAAGAACCGTAGGGAGCAGCAGTACGAGAAGACTCCGAATTGGTCAACGTAAAAGAACCATACCTCTAGATACTCGCTTAATATTCAATTTATATTAATTCGATATATACCAATTTTTTAATTTTAGGCTTGCGGTACTATATTTGTTACATTTTAACAAATTCCGCAAGAAAAGGAATCCATACACGTGTATAAGTAGATAGAAATTAAAACTTTTAATCAAAAGTAGTTAACGGGTTCAGATAAATTTACAGTAAATTTTTAACACTTTTGTTAAATTTTATCCGTTTTTGTGGTAATTACAGCTTCATCGATCAATTGAAATAACATAACAGAATTTAAAGCTTTATGAATATAAGAAAAATTATAATATATTCAAAAATATAATAATTTTAATAAAAATTTATATTTTTAATAATATCATTATATTTTTATGCAGTAAAATTAATTCAAATGTATAATTGACAACTACAAAAAATGGAAGACTAAGTTTAAACCAAAATTATGGCCCATTTAACTTCGACTAAATCTTTATAAATGTTTTTTAAAGGTTTTTCGATCGAAAAAAATCTTGTAATTCTTTATGAGTACCAGGTTTCTCACAAACTTCGAACTAACATGTTCGATTTTACTATATGGTTATTTTTATCTCGCCGATCATAGATAGGTTGATCAGTGCGTAAAAAACGTGGTGGAAACTAAACGCTCGAATTAACCTGAAGTAGTATTACAAGATTATACGCTGCTTGGTGTATATCTCAAATTTTAGTCGCTCGTCGACTTTGCTTTTTCT